ATAATAATGAGGTTTCTATTTATATGACTTTCAAATATAACTATTGTTTTGTCGTAAAAAAGTTATTTTTATGGCCAAAAAAGTGATGCCATTAATTCATTTGAATAAATTGTTTGGCAATTTTACGCTCAATACTTATCTCATTAACCGTTTAAATAAGTTATATGTCATACACTGTATTGTAATTATGTATAAGTTATATAAATAGCACCGAAAATTAAAAGGGATTTTTGAAAATATCAAAACATAAAAACGAAAAAATGGTTTCAAAAAATAAAATACTTTTTTTGTCGGTTTTGAGGAATAAATGCTTTTTTCGTTAATGGATTCGTAGATCATATGAGATAACAGTTTAATGCTGTCAACTAAAAGACATTATGTATTACTGATTAATGAAAGCATAAACTATTCAAATGAATTGTCTATTAAGTTGTAACGAAACTGAGGTAACGATAAGACAAGAATATTCTTACAATTGGTTTTTGTATCATATTTTTTGATCAGAATTTCATTGTAATGGTTAAAAAACAAGTGAAACTCAATAAGTAATCCTAGAAATAGATAAATAATAAAAAGTAATGATCGATACAAATATTATATTATAATGTTTGGCTCTCAATAAGTTATGTTACGGAATATATCGTACAAAAAATCATAATAAATATTAATATCGTATATATAATCGTGTTTTTGGCATAAATTCTTGTTTTCGATTCAAACTGTGAGCTCTTTTTTCAGACCAATATTTTATCGTTTTTGTATTTATTTCACTTTTTGTTAGCTTTTTATATAAGTTATTATCTGTGGATAACTTTAAGTTATGGCTCGCATTATCTATATTACATAAATGAACAAATTTTCAATACAATACCACAAAAAAGCTTACAGTATATCAATTTTATTGCACACCGACTACCGGTGCCCGACCTTTAACTAGCGTTAATTCACTGGATTAGTCAAAATTTGTACATTTATTATAATAACATTGCGGCCAATTATATGTATATAACTAATTACACCTTGCCCATTCTTTGCACACTATACCTGTTCAAATACAAACAGTAATTACAAAACAGTATATATAAAGTTATATTTATGAAAAACACGCTAAAATCCTGTTTGTGTTTTTTGTTTGTTATATATTGTTTGCTACTGTAATCGCTTTAGCTATTCGTTTACTTATCATTAAATTTTATAATTAATTCAATTAATGAATGATTTTTAGATATATATTGTATTTAATTGTTTGCTTAACTTTGTGTTTGTGTTTAAGATCTCTAGGAATTCGTTTGCCGTTTAGTTGAGAGATGAATATCCTATTAGTGATTAAATCGATGGCTCGTATGGTATAGTATGGGGTATAAT